GAAGCCCTCGAAGGGATAATTCATCGCAGCAGCGCGAGTTGAGTTGCTGACTACATTGGGTCAATTGACTACTTTGCCAGTTGGGTCGCTGCTTACATTGCACTTAGCAATACGTAGTAGTTGTTAATATTGTTGTGCATGGCACCGGTAATCGGGAGCATATGTAAAAATGCGTGTATAAAAAATGGAATTTCGGCAAGACAAATATCACACCACCACTTAACATTGCAGCAGCCAGAGTGTCCAGTTGTTTAAAAAAAATCGCAATTTCTGAAAAAAAAAATCGCCAATTTTTTTAAATAAAATTTATGAAATCGATTTAACAAATCTTTTATTTAAAAAATTAGATCTTGTTATAATATAGTTTTTAAAACCAAAAACGAATATAATACATTTAACCCATAATTAGGCGTATGGGGTCAAGGTCATTTCAAGTGAAAAAAAATGTCTTGGAGTGCGTGTACACATATGTCGCTACTTTTTTAAGCCTTGACCCCATGCGACCACTTATGTAACATTTTTTAGTTTTTATTTTTGTATCTAAGTTTGAAGTCAAAGTTATGCTTTTCTTTCTTAAAGTTAACTATAATAAAGAGCTTTATTATTTATGACAAAATACATCTCGTTTTATTTATTTAGTTACGGTTAGAACATCGTCGTGTAAACATGTGTCGCTACTCGCTTGAGTGCTGACCCCATGCGCCTACTAACGTAACAATTTTTTCGCGGAAGTAAGTTTTAATTTTTATACCCGAGCGCACTTGTACACAAGGGTATATTAATTTTGTTCACATAACGGTTGTTTGTAACATCCAAAACGAATCGAGATAGATATAGACAAATGTATACATAAATGATCAGGATGAAAAAAGAAATCGATTAAGCCATGTCTGTCTGTCCGTCCGTCCGTGTACACGATAACACGAGCAAAAATTTAGATATCTCAACGAAATTTGGTACGTAGGTTTCCCTTAATCCAAGGTAGGTTGGTATTGAAAGGACTGTAACCACGACCACTTCCCATATAACGGTAATTTCCAGAAATACGAAAACAGCGATATTTTAGTAACTACTGAAGATAATTCACTCAAAATTGATATTTACAATAATTTTCAGACGAAAAATAAGGATATTATAAATTTTTGGAAAATGGGCCACGCCCACTTATGGTTACATCTTGGTAACCGCTGCACCAATTTCTTCGAAATTTTTAAAATCGGACGATAACCACGCCCACATCCCATATAACGGTAATTTAGAGAAATACAAAATCTTCGATAAATCAGTAAATATTGAAGCTAATTTATTCAAAACTGATGCTTGCAACAACTCCTTCCCAAGAAATACGTTTATGGTAAAATTTTGGAAAATGGGCGTGGCACCGCCCACTTATGATCACATATATGTAAATCGGTAACCGTTCTACCAATTTGTACCAAACTCGGTGTTGTTATTGTGCTTGCCACAGATAAGCAAAACGTTGAAAATTATTGAAATCGAACCAAAATTACGGCCGCTTTTTATATAACGGTAAATTTCAGAAATGCTTGAAACTGCAATATTTCGAAATTGAAGGACGTTAATTTACTCAAAATTGATACACCCCGGCTTACCATCTAGCGGAAGGTTTCGGAAAGGTGAAAAAACATATATTTAATACTTGCGCCGGGTATTTAATGTTCGGCTCCGCCCGATCTTAGACTTTCTTACTTGTTTTTTTTTAAGTTTGAAGTCGAAATAATGTTTTTCTTTTTTAAGTTAACGATAAAAGAGTACTTTAATATTTTTGTTAATACACACTTCCTTTTTTTTATTTTGAAAACTCTTTTTCAACACTTTTATTGGGGTCACTGGAGACCCCATGCGACTAATGGTGTGATTTGCTTTATGCGCCTAATTAAGGGTTAATAATAAATAACGCAAATCACTTATATAATAGTGATGTAAAAAAAATTTTCTTTAAAAGTACGCATATTTTTTTTTTAAATATTTGTTTCAACACACTTTGCAATAGGACTGCGCAATTATTAAATTTATTATAACTCATATTAATTGATTAATCGTACAATCCGCTTTTAAGAGCTCGGCGCTAAAAAGTAAATAACAACCTATAATAAGGCGAGATCAGCTATTTCCACAATTTCTTTAAAATCACCTATAGTGTCTGAATGATTTACATTTCTGTTGCTGTTTTATATTGAGCTACTCAACCTTGATAACATTCTGTTTGATATTGGAAACGTTTTGCAGCAGAAATTATTATCCCTCATATGACACTTTATTCGAACTATTGAATTAAGGCTTTCCAGCCTCATCCTATTTCGAATCTTAGCTTTTGTTTAATTCATTACGGAAGAACGCGCTCAACGAAACCATTTGAGTGCGGGAAGGACAATAAAAAGAATTTACTTGTATTTCCAAACATTTTATTGCCTGTTGCGGTTTTCACTCCGTAAGCAATTATCCAAAATTCTGTAGAGTCGGATGGAATGGTGCTGAGAAAGTTATTCCGTGGGAAAGTTTAAAGATTTAAATATTCAGTTTCCGCTGCTTTTCGTTCCTTCAAAGTTAAGTAGTGAATTGGCAGGTCCCTGAAACTCGCCATCTTGTGATACACGCACTTTTCTGGTGACAAAATCAAAGCTTTTTTAAAAGAACTTAATTGACTAGGTAATCGTTTCAAAAGTTCTTCGATTAGGGTGATCAAAAATTTTTGACAGTCTTTTAATATGATTGTTAAGTCAAGTTTATCACGCAGTTCATTAGCCTCTTCTGTAAAATTATCGTGGAAAACTAAGTTTTGTATATTTTTATAATTCGCAAAAATTTATTTGATGGGGAAAAAATCGCCAAAAATCGCCAATGGCGATTTCCTAAATTTTTACGCGCAAATATCGCACGCATCGTCATGCATATGTACAAAAGCACCGCAAACAAATCACGCCACCATCACCACCCGCTATTTAACAACGCTTTTATCAACTTGCAATGTTGTGTCCAGTGATCGGACTTGTAAAAATGTGTGTGGTAGAATCTGGAAAAAAATTTGGGAGATTTTAAAAAAATGTGGAAGATCTTAGGTTTTGGCTCAAACTTTGTACAAAAATTAAAAAAATTCTGCAAGGTTTCACCAAAATTGAAAATCTAAAATAATAGAATCTAAAAAGAAAATAATTTTAGTATAATAAAGTGCAAGATTGAAGCTGCTAAAAATCGCGTTGAGTTTTGTCAATTTTTTTCCTTGACAGTGTAAAGCAGTTCCTTCCATACCAAGACATTTTTCGAACATATTTTGAAAGATTTCTGCAACCTTGCGAAGTGCTGCCAGCTTTTCTTTTTATCACATCATGTTGTAGCGAACAAATGTGGCACGTTCCAGAAACCGCTACTTGGGATTTGCCGATTTTGACAATTCTCAAGTAAAAGTAAACAACGCTTTAGAAACTTTAGATGCACTGAAATTTGTTAATACTTTCACAAAAATCGCCGTTTTTTTAACATTTTCGCCATATTTTTTTTTTATAAATCATATATTTTCCAATTTAACACAATAAAACCACGTTTCCTGTCGAAAAATTTAATATTCAGAAAGTTTACTATTTTGCGGTTGATTTTATCTTCCCATTCTGCCTGTTGTTAGTGTTTAGTGTTGGACAATTTTTTCTCTTAAAATTAAGAAAATTATGTCGAGCAAAAATAAAACTACTCAAAAACGTAAATATGTGGTAGATTTCAGACCTTGTGTGGTAGATGTGGTGGATGCTCCAAAAAGTGGTAGATCTACCACAATGTGGTAGAAGTCCGATCACTGGTTGTGTCCAGACACCATTCATTGCTATAAAACCATGATTCAATAGGGCTATTCGCGATCCGGTGCAAATGGCCTAGCATCATTGCATTGCAAATTTGTATTGCAAATTATTTGCAATACACAAACAAAATACACGCATTTGCATTTGCCATGGCTTGACAAATTTGCAATACCGAAAATCCATAGCATAAAAATGCTATGCATTGCAAATCTGGTTGACATTTCTATCAGCTGATTAAAAAAGTTTTACCATGACAGTTTAATAAAGGTTGCTCACAATCCATGGCATATTTCTGCAATTGCATAAATTTGTCAGCTCTTATGCACCGAATCGCGAATAGCCCTAATATACAAGGTTGGATAAATATTGACATTTGTATCAATCGACTGCCTTGTAAGGTTGCATTTGAGAAGCAGGAGAAAGCGAGTAATCATTTTATCCTCTTTCGTGAAAAGGTAGTAGGAAAAGTAGTCTGGTAGTGTTAAAATGCGTTTTTTGTATATTATATTGAATTAAAATATCAAAGCAGATTCCATTGATCTACACAATACACAATCAATTAACTTGTTTATGGTGTATTAAACATGCTAAAATGCGTTTTTTGTATTGAATTGAATTAAAATATTAAAGCAGATTCCATTGATCTACACAATACACAATGAATAAAATTTTTTATGGTGTATTAAACATGCTATGTAGATATTAAAAATTATATAAATGAAGAATGAAAGAATTTATTCACATAAAATTCTGATCAAAGAAAAATCTTATGGACAAATATTCCAAAATTTTCAAAACAACCCTGGTTCCATTAAAACTCCAGTATATATTAAATAAAATTAATGGAATTCAAACAAATCCTTCATTCAAAGGGACTATATTGCACACCGTCTTCAAAAGAGTCAACTCCAAATTTGGGATTTTAGAGATTATGCGCTAAAAATGTACACAGAGCTTTTATTTACCTTTCAGCAAAAGCTGGATCCAATTTTTGTTATAATTTGTAAAAAAAAAAAACCTAAGGTAAAGTCGCCCTAGCCCATATGATTATCATGTGCTGAGAAATAGTTTTTCGTATTTTCTGACAAACGTATTATTTTGAGTTGTGATTCTTTTGAAGACGGTGCGAATTATGAAGAAATATACAACTAGTAAAGATGCAATTGATGCAATGTATAGAAATTAATCTTTTTAAAAAATTATTATATTTGTTGCATTTAAAAATTACATGTTCAATATCTTAAATTGAATTACATTTGGTGGACGGACACACAAAGTGATCCTGACCTGCACAAGAAAAAAGCTTTATTGATATTTACACTTTCACTTTTATGGGGTGGTATACTTACTTGTAAGTACATATGTAACCGCTGCACTTCGCCAAATAAATCGGTGCAGCTGTAATTCCCAGTGGACTGCACCAGCCAGACGTGAACGGACAAACAGAGATCCTAGCACGCAAAACTTATTGGCAACGGCTGCACTTGCTGTAAAACGCAGCCTTTCGTATAACTCCGATACTCTGCAAAGAAATATGTGAATTATTGTTTTAATTCAAAATAGCTCCATTATTTTTTGGCATGCTTACTTGAATTTGCGCAATAAGAAAATCAATTTCCGCGAAACGATCGATGAAACTATCGGCAGTGTTGCCTGTTGAACTTTTTATACGAAGACAATATTTCTCCTTGTCTTTTAGTAGTAGTCTCTATAAATCAAAAAAGAAAGCAACACAGGCTGTAAATTTGTTAAAGTACGACTTTAACGAGTTCACCCACGACTCTAAACAAATTCCAAAGAACTCAAGTTTTGCGTTTAGAATATGCAGTTTATTTTCCAATA